GGGCGCCTGTGGTCCCAGCTACTTGGGAGGCTGAGGCAGGAGACTCGCTTGAGCCCAGGAGTTGGAGGTTGCCGTGAGCACGATGCCATGGCACTCTACCCAGGTGGATAGCTTGAGGCTCCGTCTCAAAAAAAAAGAAAAAAAAAAATAGAATAGAATAGATAGAATAAAATACTTCTGCAAAGCAAAGCTAGGTGTAATGGCTGATGCATGTAATCCCAGAACTTTAGGAGGCCAAGATGGAGGATTGCTTAAGTCCAGGAGTCTGAGACTAGCCTGGGCAATACAGCAAGACTCTCCATCGCTAGGCTGCATGCGGTGGTTCACACCTGTAATCCTAGCACTCTGGGAGGCTGAGGCAGGTGCATTGCTTGAGCTTGAACTTGTGAGCAGTCTAAGCAAAAGTAAGACCCTGGTCCCTACCAAAATATAGAAAAACTGAGGCAAGAGGATTTCTTGAGCCCGAGTTGGAGGTTGCTGTGAGCTATGATGCCATGGCACTCTACCCAGGACATATAGCTTGAGACTGTCTCAAAAAAAAAAAAAAAAATAAAGACTCCACATCTCTAAAAAAAATTAAAAAATTAGCTGAGTATGGTGGTGTGCATCTGTAGTTCTAGTTACTCAAGAGGCTGAGATCGGAGGATCACTTGAGTCCAGAAGTTTGAGGTTTCAGTGAACTATGATTGTGCCATTGTACTCCAGCCTAGGTAACAGAGGGAGACCCTGTCTCTAAAAAAATTGAAAAAAATCAAATAGGCCAGGTACAATAGCTCATCCCTGTAATCCTAGTATTCTGGGAGGCTGAGGTAGCAGGATCACTTGAGCTCTGGAGTTTGAGACCAGCCCAAGCAAGAGTGAGATCCCATCTGTACTAAAAATAGAAAAATTAGCTGGGCATCATGGCAGGCACCTGTAGTCCCAGTTCCTTGGGAGGCTGAGGTAAGAGGAGTCCCAGTTCCTCAGGAGTGAGACTCCTAGCTGTGAGCTAGGCTGACATCATAGCACTCTAGCATGGGCAACAGAGTGAGACTCTGTCTCAAAACAAAGCAGGCTCGGCCTGTGGCTCAAGCAGCTAAGGCACCAGCCACATACACCAGAGCTAGCGGGTTCGAATCCCAGGCCTGCCAAACAATGACAACTGCAACCAAAAAATAGCTGGGTGTTGTGGCGGGCACGTTTGGTCCTAGCTCCTTGGGAGGCTGAGGCAAGAGACTCACTTAAGACCAGGAGTTTGAGGTTGCTGTGAGCTATGACACCATGGCACTCTACCCAGGGGGACAGCTTGAGGCTCTGTCTCAAAAAAAAGAAAAACAAAACAAAACATACAAATAAAAAACCAACCAACCGCCCCCCAACCATAAAATTAAAAAATGAAATAGAATACTTAGTAAAGAAAACAGGGATGGAGCAAATGAGCATAATCTAAACTGTTACGTCTTGGTAATTGGTGTACGGGGTTCATTATATTGCTTTATTTTCTCTCCTTTTGTGTATATTTAAAAATTTCAAAAATACATAATAAAGATAGGTGCATTTGGTATCAGCAGGTCTTGTCCCCCATTCCTATCCCTTTCTATGGGAAAGTTTAGCTTTGTCCCCCACACCCTCAGAACTCTATATTCCCACCTATACCTGTTTTTTCTCCAGCCTTTCCCATTCTAGCTACCTCTTTAACTGACCCAGAACATACCAACCATACCTTATAGGCCCGGGGCATGCTGGGAAGGAAAGTGCCTCCACAGCAGCTGATGATCTCTCCCATCTGAGGAGGGGGTGGCTGGACTCCAGGGGTCACATGAATCTCATAGCCCTAAGAGAAAGAAATGTGGAGCCCATGAATGTAGCACTGAGAGGCCATAGTCTGTTGGGAAACCACTGGATAGAGTGCTGAAGCACTTAGCAGAAGACAGTCTCTTACCTCCAGCAGCCTTCGCTCCCGAGAACGGCTCAGAGCATCTTGAAGACTGAAGCCAAAGTTCTTCTCCTGCTCAAGATCGGCCACTAGATATTCATCTGGGGTCAGGAAGCAACCAGCCTTGCGGGACTAAAGATGGCAGCAGTCAGCATCAAAGCTTAGCCCGGCCTGCCACCCTACTCTCCTGCCTAGCATTTGTAGAGAACTCATAAAATATTTGAATGACTTCAGCTTCTTTTTCACTAATGCCCCTTTTCCTGAACCCCTCTTCCCTCCCACCACTTTCTTTTTTTGTTTGGTTTTCTTTTTTTGAGATAGAGTCTCACTTTGTCACTTTTAATAGAGTGCCATGGTGTCATAGCTCTCAGCAACCTCAAACTCCTGGGCTTAAGCAATTCTCCTGCCTTAGGCTCCCAAGTAGCTGGGTCTACAGGTGCCCACCACAACACCTGGCTATTTTTAGAGACATTTTGCTCTGGCTCAGGCTGGTCTCGAACCTGTGAGCTCAGCAATCCACCTATCTCAGCCTCCCAAGTGCTGGGATTACAGGCATGAGCCACCATACTCAGCCTCCTCCCACCACTTTCTAAAGCACTACATGAACATTATCTACTGTCACGGGCTCCATTGTCATCATCTCCTGGGTTCTCACCTGATGCAGCCAGTCTAGCGAAAGGATGGGGATACCTCGCCCCAAGGCACACAGGAATTTGACTGTCCGGCGGATTCGATCAGTGACCAGATGAGAAGCTTCTGCCACTGAGCTGGCCAGACTTCCCCCGAGTGCCAGCACAGCCCGCTCTCCCCGAGCATCCACCACTCCTGTGAAGAGCACCTGTGGAAGGGTTGGCCTGAGCTGGTCACAGCAGCCCATGTCATAAGTGCCTGTCTCTATAAACCCCCAGGTCTCCTCCTATCCTCCCATATTTCTCTCCTTCAAAGCCCCTTGCCCCCTCTCTCCTACTTTGGGGGCTGTTGATTCTTGGTTTGGTTTAGTCCGTCTGAGGCTGCGGCTTGGTACTTCCTTGGGATCCTCCTCTGCCTGGTGTCTCTTTCTCTTGCCTGGTGCTGGCATCACATCCTGGAATTGAGAAAGATTTTGGTAGGAGTTTCTGAGCCATTTCCCAGCTTTGTGGCCCCAGCCATCTCCTCACCTCTTCTTTTCCTGGCTTCTCTGTGGTGCCTTCTGCCTCTTCCTTGAGAAGTGCTGTCTTCTGGGTGACTTCCCCTCTTTGGGGCCGTTTTGGAAGTGGGGGTGAAGAGGCTAAAGCCCTCTTGCGGCTTTGAGAGACCTTAAACTGGGTCTCTGGGGTGAACCCAGATCTATCTGTTGGTTCTACCTCTTGGATCTGGGGTACCTCAAGCAGCTGTGGAAATGCAGGCTCAGGAATGGTTGTAATGGACTGAGCTGCTCTCACTGCTCCCCATCTTTGGTTCCCTGAGGATCGGGATTTAGGTTCAGGGGATGTAGAGCAAGGTTTACAGACAATGGGAGATGTGAGGGAGCCATGCTTCCCAGCAGCTCTCTGTCTTCTGCAACTGGCTTGAGGAACAGGCTCAGGGGGAACAGGCTGGCCTGTGGTGACAGAAGACTGAAATTCAGGGGTGGTAGGAAAAGGCACAGCACTTATTGTAGAAGACCTTAGTGTCCTACTTTGACCACTCTCAGCTATGACCCTGGGGGTGATGGGTTGGTCTGTGGGAATAGGAGGCTCAAGATTAGGAGTTGTGGGTTCAACTGGTTCAGGGGTCTTAACAGAGAATGTATTTGTTCTGCCTCGAGTAGCCTGAGATGTGGGCTTTGGGGTGATAGGCTGGGCTGTGGAAGTGGAAGGCTGGAGCTCAGGGGGTGTGGGGATAATTGGTTTGGGAGTCTTGACAGAGGACCTGTTTGTCCTGCCCCGAGTGGTTCTTGATATGTGCTTGGGGTTGACAGGCTGGGCTGTGGAAGTAGAAGGCTGGAGCTCAGGGGCTATGGGGACAATTGGTTCAGGAGTCTTGACAGAAGACTTATTTGTCCTGCCTCGAGTGGTCCGAGGTATGTGCTCGAGGTTGAGAGGCTGGTCTGTGGTGATGGAAGTCTGGAGCTCAGGGACTATGGGGACAATTGGGTCAGGGTACTTGACAGATGACCTATTTGTCCTGCTCCGAGTGACCCGAGATATGTGCTTTGGGGTGACAGGTTGGTCTGTGGAAGTGGAAGACTGGAGCTCAGACACTGTGGAGACAACTGGTTCGGGGGTCTTGACAGAGGACCTATTTGTCCTGCTCTGAGTGGCCTGAAATGTGGGCTTTGGGTTGACAGGCTGGTCTGTGGAGGTGGAAGGCTGGACCTCAGGGGATGTGGGGACAAATGGTTCTGGAATTTTAACAGAGAATCTATTTGGTTTACCCCTAGTGGCCTGAGATGTGGGCTTTGAGGTGACAAGCTGGGCTGTGGAAGTGGAAGGCTGGAGCTCAGGGGCTATGGGGACAATTGGTTCAGGAGTCTTGACAGAGGACCTATTTGTCCTGCCCCGAGTGCCCCGAGATGTGCGCTTTGGGGTGACAGACTGGTCTGTGGAAGTGGAATGCTGGAGCTCAGGGGCTGTGGGGATAATTGGTTCAGAAGTCTTGACAGAGGATCCATTTGTCCTGCCCCAAGTGGCCCAAGATGTGGGCTTTGTGGTGACAGGCTGGGATGTGAAAGTGGAAGGTTGGAGCTCAGAGGCTGAAGGAACAACTGGGTCAGGGTTCTTGACAGAGGACCTATTTGTCCTGCTCCGAATGGCCCGAGATATGGGCTCCAGGGTGACAGGCTGATCTGTGGGGGTGGTAGGGTGGGGCTCAGGGGCAGTAGAGGAAACTGGAGAGGGTGTCATCCTGGAAAAACCCCGAGATCTGACTTTAGGCTTTGGGTGGAAAGGTTCCACCTCTGAGGACAAGGGGGTCTCTGGAGCTTCCTGACTCTCATTTTGCCTGGTTTTAGGAATGCATGGCTCAAGAGAAGGTAGAGAAGGAGAAGAAAGGGACTGAGGTGCAAGATGTTTTGGGGTCTGAGAGACAAGGGGGCCTTGGGGTGGAGCTAAGGCTTCAGTCTCTGCAGGAGGCAGACAAGCATCTTGGGACTCCTGATCACCCTGGGGAGAAACAGAAGCAAGTGAGGGAGGAAGAGGTAGAGAGAAAAGACATACTTGGACACTGTTCTTGATAATTGTTTGTGGTTAGAGTATGCTCACTGGACTTCTCTTTCTAAGACGTCTTTCCTTAGACTAGGAACTCCTAGGGAGCAAGCAGTCCTCTTTCCCATGGACCTTTCCCCACAATGCTACTACTGTTTTCAACACATAGATGATGGCAATGAAGAAGAGGATGGCTGGGGTGAAGAAGAAAGGAATAGGAAAAAAGGGACTCTTTCTGACTCAGGCAAAAGAACGTGCAACTTGGGAAAAAAGATATGAAAAACAAGGGTAAAGGAATAGAAGGAAACAAACCTTCTTTCTTCAATGTAAATGGAAGAAATCTTAGGCTATGGAGAAAATAGATTAAAGCCAGGCTAGGGGAAGGGGCACTGAAGGGGGTAAAGAGATGACTTGAGAAGTAGGGAGAGGTAGAGATAGCAGGTCTCACCCAGGAAGTCTTCTCAGTAGGTGGTGTCTTGCAATTCAGGTGGCCTAGAAGAGAAAGTAAACACAGAGTGGCTGAGTTCTAAACAGTTGGATGCTCAGGGGTTGATTGTTAAGAGAGCTTTGTACCACCATGGGTTCGCCTCCATCTTCGCTTACCTCTCTGCTGCCTCCTGAGGCTCACTTGGACTCCCCTTCCTCCACTTGACTGGCTCCCAGAAGCTATTGGGGCTGAGGCTGAAGCAGGCCCCTGAAGGTCCCCTGCTCCCATTCCAGGCTCTGGTGTTGGGCAGGAGGCCTGCCGTTTCTGGCCCTGGCTCCCTCTCTCCGGCCCCCTTCTCTGTGTGCCTCTCCCCAGCTTCCCTGTGAGTACCCTTACTTCTGATTTGGTTGGCTCACACTCTCCCTCTGGTATTGGTTGCTCTACTTCTCTCTCAAATTTTATTTCTCTTGTGAAGATCTGTTTCTCTGTTTCTTTCTCTTGTATTTCCTTGGATGTCTCAGTTTCTACCTTCAAACTCTCCTTATCCCTTTCAGGACTTGTACTTTTCTCTTTTTTGGCAAACTCTTGTTTCTGCGTGTCTCTAGCTAACAATTGTTTTTGTTCTCTGTCCTGTATCCTTCTGGTTAATTCTTCATCTCCTGTTACATCTCTTTTGCCTCTTGGTGGCAGTTTCTTGGTTTTCCGCTTCAATGGCCCTCTCTTAGTGGTCACCCTCCCTGCTGTTTCTTTTGGTATACTCATATCTTTATCCACAGTCTGCATCCCATTGTCATGAATCTCCAATGGCTCTGTGTGAACTGAGCTCTTCGGATGTTGGTCTTGTGGTGTTGCCCTAAGTGAAGACAGGCAAGATCCATAAGCCTTAAGGTGAGTGGCAATGGGCTGGGTATCAGAGGCTTCAGATTCTCTCTGACAAAATGGCTGTGTAGCCAGGACCTCCCATGGCTCATCTAGGGCACCTGGAAGTAGAATCAGAGACGAAAAGAGAGAGAAAGTGAGGAGTACAGGTTGAAATAATAAGATGACAAATTCATGAATAATAAATTTAAACAAGTTATTAAAGGAAAGCTGGGGGTAAGGATAGTAATTATAACACTTAATGTTTGTTTCTAAAGGACCATACCTTCATATGAAGGCCTCCTCAATTGTCACTTTAAAAATGATCTAGTGGCTCGGTGCCTGTGGCTCAAGTAGCTAAGGCACCACCCACATACACCTGAGTTGGCAGGTTCGAATCCAGCCTGGGCCTGCCAAACAACAACACTGACAACTACAACCAAAAAAATGGCCAGGCGTTGTGGTGGGCACCTGTAGTCCCAGCTACTTGGGAGGCTGAGGCAAGAGAATCAATAAGCCCAGGAGTTAGAGGTTGCTGTGAGCTGTGATGCCATGGCACTCTACCCAGGGCAACAACTTGAGGCTCTGTCTAGTCTGTGGTCTATGGGTTTGAATTTATATGGCTTTTTTTTTTCTCTGATGAGATGGAGAGACAGCAGTAAAGTACATTCATCCCTTGGTATATGTGGGGGATAAGTTCCAGGACCCCTCATGGATACCATAATCTGTGGATGCTCATGTCCTTTGTATAAAATGGCATAGTACTTACATAAAACTTGTACACATACTTTAACTCATCTCTAGATTACCTACAGTACCTCATAAAATGTAAATATTATGTATTTTTATTTGCCTTTTTTTTTTTTTTTGAGACAGGGACTCACTCTGTTGCCCTGGGTAGAATGCCATGGTGTCCTAGCTCACAGCAACCTCAAATTCTTGGGCTCATGTGATCCTCTTGCCTCAACCTTCCAAGTAATTGCAACTATAGGCGCCTACCACAATGCCCAGCTAGTTTTTCTATTTTTTTTTTTTTTAAAGTAGAGATGGCACTACTTTTTTTTAAAAGTAGAGATCTTGAACTCCTGAGCTCAAGGGATCCACTTGCCTCAGCCACCCAGAGTGGCTAGAATTACAGGTGTGAGCCACTATGCCAGGGCTTTTTTGCATTATTTTTAGGTTTTTTTTTTTTTTTTGAGACAGAGCCTCAAGCTGTCACCCTGCATAGAGTACCATGGAATCACAGCTCATAGCAACCTCCAACTTCTGGGCTTAAGTGATTTTCTTGTCTCCGCCATCTAAGTAGCTGGGACTTCAGGCGCCCGCCACAATGCCTGGCTACTTTTGGTTGTAATTGTTTGGCAAGGCCTGGGCTGGATTTGAACCCACCATCTCTGGTGTATGTGGCTGGTGCCTTAGCTGCTTGAGCTACAGGTGCTGAGCCTATTGTATTATTTTTAATGTTTTTTTTTTTTTTGAGACAGAGTCTTACTTTGTCACCCTTGGTAGAGGGTTATGGCATCACAGCTCACAGCAACCTCCAACTCTTGGGCTTATGTGATTCTCTTGCCTCAGCCTCCCAAGCAGCTGGGACTACAGGCGCCTGCCACAATGCCCAGCTTCTTTTATTTTTGGTTGTACTTGTCATTGTTGTTTGGCAGGCCCAGGTTGGATTTGTACTTGCCAGCTTTGGTGTATGTGGCTGGTGCCCTAGACGCTGAGCTACAGGTGCTGAGCTTTTTTTTTTTTTGGCTGGGGCCGGGTTTGAACCCACCACCTCTGGTATATGGGGCCTGCGTCCTACTCCTTTGAGCCACAGGAACTGCCCAGGCTCCGAGCTTTTTAAAGGCTTTTTATTTTATTTGCAGTTTTTTGGCCAGGGCTAGGTTTGAACCTGCCACCCTCAGCATATGGGACTGGCGCCCTACTCCTTGAGCTACAGGTGCTGCCCTTTTTTTTTTTTTTTT